GTAGAGCTTGTCAGATATTATCCCTGTTAGCAACTTCCACATTACAGGTAAACAGGTTATGGGGCGGTAATTTCCTGCTACTGTGCCTTTCTCTGGGTCTTTCATTATAAGGACAGTTCTTCCCTTGGTCATCATCATCATCATTATTATTATTATTATTATTATTATTATTTTGGTTATGTCACCAAGGAATTAAAGGTAGACTACTTCAGTACATGTACATGTTTAACAATAATAATAACAAATAATTTTTATACAGGATAACTCTTCAGTACACAAGTACTGTTATCAAAGGGGTCCTGTTTAAAAGAAAAATGTAAAATATATGTTGTGAATTCCTTTAATGACTTAAAATTTCTCAATTAAAGCTCAGCATAAGATATTCTCTCACACATTGATCGCTTTCATAACAAGAATTTAAATGCAACATGATCGCTTCCCATCTCAAGTCTCTAAAAAATCACTAATTAACGCAACACCTATGTTGCGTCACAGCAACTTCTGACACACTCCCCCAACATGTCTCTGAAGGAGATATACATGACTGTTCACAGGAAAACATGCTTTATTGCTTATCCGTTAAACAGCTAAAACTATCGTAAAAAGCTGGACCGGTAACGTGCATATCATTAGTGAATCAAATTCGAGGATTTAGGATTCCGGTCAGCTCTGATGCTTGAGGAAGAAATAAATATCGTTATTCTGCTCTTTAACTGAGCCATTGCTGTCTCTGATCAGTATTTCTGTGGAACGTCACGATAATTCATTAGTCTGCTTGTAATAACCATAAAGTCTATGGCCTTATGATGGGACTTCGTTCACTCAGCCATTGTCATGCACATTGCAGTGTAACTAAATATGAGTAGATTCTCTCAGGTCTCCCTTGCCGTACGATAAACTTCCTCAGTCTCTTCAGGTACTCTGCAATTTCTAGCTTCAGTAAGAGATCAGATAAACTCCTCATGTAAGGCTGCAGGCATATAAGAGGACACTATACCTTCCCTTCTTGTTGCTTAGATACTTGTTATCGTATAGGTATATTCTGTGGTGGCTTGTACAACTGGTTCATCTGCTCTCTGGACAACGCCCATTTTCTTCTGATCCTCAATAACTTCTCCACATTCACAAGTCAGGTTCTGGTGCCCAACCCTCTTGTTCAGACTTCCAAGTCAACACAAACTTCCCTCTTTGTTGTTCGGCAACACAGGATGATCTCCCTGCCAGGGTAGACCAGTCTCATACCAACCATCTTTGTCTCACACAAGTTGCTCTTTGAATTCAGCATACACGCTAACCTCGCCGTTTGAGGGTGTGGCGGAAAAGTCAAGTACATCAAGGCAGCAAAGTTCCTTGTAATCCAGGTGTGATGTCTGCATTCGTAACAAGTTTGCTAGGTCTAGAGGTTCTTTACCTGGCGACATGATGATCCAGGAAAAGTTTGTCAACTCAGCAACAGACTGAGCAGGTTCGCTGACTTTCAGGGCGGGCAACGCTTGGTGTTCAGAGTGTTCATTACGACCCCCAACAAAATGGGGGTTCTCTGCAATCATTTCTCCACACTTTGGGTTATCAAGGAAAAGTAGCTGTCCTTTATCTACTCTAGTGACTTCTGCAGGCATTGAAAACTTTCCATCAACTTAAGAAATCTCAATCATTGCCAGCTCATCTTCTCTCATTGAAGTTACAAGTGACATCTCTGTCTTTCAGACTTCTTTCTTTTGCTTACCACTTGAAATTCGGTCTAAAAGCACAGCAGATGCATAGAAACCTGCTGCTCCTGTGTCCAACAATGCTTGAGATATCACTCCAACAAGTGACATCTCTACCTTTCAGACTTCTTCCTTTCACTAACCACTTGAAAGTCGGTTTAAAAGCGTGGCAGATGCATAGCAACTTCCCACTCCTGTGTCCAACAATGCTTGGCATTTAATTCCCTTGACTTTGACAATAACAACTGGATATGTCAAGTGAGCCATTGTCATTCCTGTGTTGACAAGGAGTGCATCGATTTTGCTTTCTTGACAAATGGACGTATGATGTTTTTGATTGCATATTTGACACCTTAATTGGCTCTTACACTCATCTGCATGATGTCTTGCTCTGGTGCAATTAAAACACAGTCTTTTCTCTTGAAGTATTTTATGCTTCTCATCTACTCCAGTGACTTTAATACAATCAATTGACCTGTGCTTGGTATCTTCACAGTAAACAGGGTGGTTTTAGAGGTGGATCTCCATTCTGTGGGCTCTTCTCTGTGATGCTTTCTTCTAATAAATTGATGTCAGTCCACTTCTTTAGTTCTACAAGCAGATCTTTAAAACCCAAGTCCTGCCATCCTTCAATTCCACGCATCAGATTGGCTTTGATTCCTTTGAGCTTATCCAAAGTAGATCTTAGGGGTGTAACAACTCATATTTCTTGCAATTCGATTCAGTTTCCATTATTGCCTTTCAATTTCAATTATTTCAATCAATTGTGCAAAACATTAATGTTTTGAATATGGCCTCGTGTCCTTTACAATAAAAGCACTGATAGACTTTGTTATCGCCATTGCCCTGTTGCCTGACCGTGGCAACTTATTCTTCATAACATCCTGAATTTTTAACTGTCCTGTTCCAGTACAGTTTTTCGTACCCGGTGTCTTTGAGTCCAACACTTCTGATATCAATGCTGTGTTGACGTTTTAAGCATGCGCTCATGCTTGAAGTTGAACCAGCACAATATTAACACTAGAATGTTGCTGAGCAAATTTTGCAGATAGTTTTAGACTTGTCTGTTGTACCATCTATAGCCAGAAAACCATAACATTTCCACACAGTGGATCGAAAAGATGCAGGTGGATTCACAATCCCTTGGTCATATCTCACCATGCTTGAGAACCTGACAATGAGCATGTCCCATATGGTTTGCCTTATTTGGAAATTCTCAATTCTCACATTTTAAAAGAGTTCTGGATTCTGATTTCACAATATAATAACTCATTGAGGGCACCCTGGGAAAGGTATGCAAAAAATCGAACCGAAATCATGGAATCAAAGAATCCTGAATCAAACCGAACGGTCATAATCACAATTAATCAAGAATTCGATTAATCGTTACACCACTAGTAGATCTGATGTTTGCTTTGACATCTGAGAGCTGTCCAAGTGTGTCCAAACTTTGTACATTAAATCTTAGTTGCTTGTCAAATTCCTTGACCTTTTGTGGATTTGTTCCGCTGACAACCAGCAGCTCCATGATATTCTTCACAAAAGCATTTTCGATTTCTGTTGGCTGACTATATTCTGCTTTGAGGATGGCTTTCACATTTTCGTATCCCTCCTCAGTGAATGGTAATCCGTCAATATCAGCTTTCATGTGTTTCTCTACTAGCCCGTCAAATATCCAAATTTAGTGAGGGGTGGCAGGCCAGTGGAGTCTATTTCAGAAGTAAATTTCCCCCAGAAGGGAAGCTGCTTCTATCTTTCCATTGAACTTCATTATTGACAGCTTGGGAAGTTTGGCTGCTGAAGATAATTTCTTCTCTTTGATCATAGACTTTAGCACGTCCACAACATTGACTACACTTGTAATTGATGTTTGGAGGCGTTCAGAGGCTAGTCGGTCTCGTTTGCCGATGATATCATCCATCTTGTTGAGCTTGAAGTGCAGCAGTTTGATTTTCCCATAATTAACTTGGCTAATTGCTTCTCTGTCATTGTTACTCGGTTTAGATACTTTGCTCTTGTTTGAACGCTCTCACTGATAACTGTGCCGACGGAGGTGCCACTTGTGTCATGAATTCCTTTAATAACCTTAACTTACTCATTTAAAGCTCATTATGAGGTATTCTCTCTCACACACATTGATCGCTTTCGTAACAAGACTTAAAACGCAACACAATCCCTTCCCATTTCAAGGTCTAAAAAATCTGTAATTAGCACCACACCTATATTGTGTCACATCAATTTCAGACATATAAACTAAACTAAGTTCAAAGATAAAAAGGTAAAATAACTATCTAACAATATGCTAATACCGATAGCTAATGCGAACTACGTTAATTACACTATGAATGTTTTAAACAAGTTACTGATTTGAATTTCATGTTAAGCCACATCATGGATGTAACAAGTAAATGTTATATACTTCACAGAATGTTGTCCTTGATTTCCAAACATGTACTATGCATGAACATGACTATGATGGTAACTTTGGTAACCTGGATGTTGGCATTCTGTTCATTAAGGTGGTTGTGAGAAGCATAAGGTAACAGTGGCAGTTACAGTATACATGACTTTATGGGACAAATGCATTTAATATTCATAAACATTAGATTAAAGGAGGATGCAGTAGGCTAGATATATGAGTGGTTAATTAAAGTACTGAATTTCACTAACCAGATCAGCATCCAAGCCATATAAACAGTGCCTTGTGTTGGGATCATAGGCAGCATGCATCTTCTCTGATCTGATAAACTCCATTATCTTATGCTCACCTTCACCAGGTGTCTGATAGAAAACATTCATAGCATTAACATCCCAAGTAATAATATTATATATACACTATACCAAGCCTACAAATAATTTTTGTCTATAGGCAGGTCATTTGTCAGGACAAGGACAAGTTTTGACCTGACAAAAAGCCAGTCTGGTCGGACAAAAAAAATTG